TACACAACAAGTACACATTTTATCCTTCTACTCTGAATCATCCAAACCCACTTTTCTTTCACTTTCTTCCTCCCTATTACTTAGTGAGCCTCAACGACGATTAAGAGGCAGTGGCCTAGAGATCTCCTGCTGACAATGTTAACAAGGATCAAGAATAAAAGAAGACAGAATAAACGGTAACACATTTACTTGATGCGTTACAACGCAGTGGCGAATTTAATGCAAAATAAATATATTATCCCAAGTGCCCAAGGTGTCATATAACGAGTTTGTGTTTTTCTAAAATGGAGAAAAGTTGGTTTCGCTTAAACAATGTTTCTTGAGGGTGGGAAAAGATAAAAATACCCATAAATTTTGATAAACAAAACTAATTTTACTATTTCAATAGTTTAAACAAAATGTTAAGGAACTTAAATTTAAATAATGATTAAGTATTTATTTGGCAAAGAAAACGAATGATCGTTTAATTTAATTTAATTAGGGCATATATTCAGAATTAGGAAATTGTTCAATAATAATTTTATTTTCCATTCAAATGTAACCTTGTTCAGATAAAACCCAAATATCTCAAATTGGTAGGATTGGTGTTAGTTATAAATTTTAGATACTCATTCAGTAAAAGTTGTGGCTTGGTTCAATTTCCATAGTTCAGGAATTTCTGCGATCAGAGCATTTCCGTTTTTTTCTCCGAATTCTCGGACAAGTCCAATGGGGCCGTACCCATTAACCGTCCGTGTACGTGGCACGTATAACCACAATTTTTCAGATTGTGTTTAACAGACAAATATACTTATTTAATTTAATTTCTTGAATTATTTTTCGTTAATTTTAACTTTTAACAATTTTTTTTTCTGACGATTTCCTTCATCATAGAAAATTCAAAAGCTAATGATGCCAAAATAACACCATTATAATTGGTACATTGTGTTTAATTGATAACGCACTTTATTTTGGCCTAAAATGTTTGTATGTACTCTTCTAGAGTAGTAGAATAAGAAGTAAATGTTTTGAACCGATAAGCCTAAAATGATTTTTCCTATTGTGCTCGTCGTAAACCAATGACTTCCTGTCCTTTAGTATCCTTTTACAACACCTCACTTATTGCTGTTGAACAAATCCGTTACCTAGGACTCCATCTGGACAAACGTCTAACTTGGAATCCTCATACCAGACTCAAACGACAAGAAACAGCTCGACGTTTCCGACTACTTCAACACTTACTAGACAAACGCTCTAACCTTCCAATCAATTATAAAAGACTGATTTACATGACTATAATAAGGCCTATTTGGACTTACGGAGTTGAGCTATGGGGCTCCACCAAACCTTCAAATTCCTCTCGCATACAATCCTTACAATCCAAAATCCTTCGTAAAATCCTCAATGCTCCTTACTTTGTTACAAATAAAATTATCCATAATGACCTTAATGTTCCTTATGTATCAGATTTGGCCCAATCCAGATATCTGTCCTTCCATAATAAACTTCATAACCATCACAACCCTCTTGTCTCTAACCTTGCTTCCTATTCGATTCCTGATAATCCTCCGAGGCGTCTGAAAAGAAGATGGCCACGTGATCTTCTAATATAGACATATTATTAGAGTGCTACCAATGGGTAGTTTCTCAACATGTGTTCCATGTCTTTATACCAATGTGCGAATTTACCAGATGTATTTTTGTATACATACAGTTGTAAATATCATATAAATAAATAATAATTTTAACAATTTTAACCTATTGTGCTCACTTTTTCGAGATTCTGTTTCTCCTTGCGTATATGTTGGCATAATTATATCAGCATGATGTTAGTGATATATGTTTATTGAAACAATATTAATTTGTTATCTTGTACTAAAGTTAGGTAAGTCTCGTTTCAAATGATTTAAAAAGGTAAAAAAATTGTTTTTTTTTTCTAAAACGGTTATATGAAAAACTTATTATAATTTTAATTGAAAACATTTTTAATTAAAACTATATTAATATAAAAATATTTCTCAGAGTTTTAATTATATATTCTAACTCAATTTTCCATATTTTCTAAAGTTATCAAACTTTAATTAAGCAAATAAATGAGTGAAGCTTTTACTTACCATAAATTTCAGCCGAAACACCATAGTGAATTATAGATTTTAACTCCAATCTCATCAGAGGTATTAAATCTTCAATTATGAAGGTTATGCTTTAAAATGGTGGCTGTTTGATCTTCATAAGTCTTATAATTTTTGAACTTCGACGGAACCGCAAATGCTTACATTTACTGAAATTGGTTCATAACTCGAAAGAAGAATGGGTGCCATTTATAAACAGCCAAAAAAAAATCCTCAGCTCTTCTTACCTCTAGAATCACAAGAATCAATAAAAGAAATAATAAAAATGGTCTACCCTCCACCATTGGACCATTTCATATAGATTGACTCTTAGGTAAGCATTAATAAAACAATCAAATCACTTCTTGTCTATTTAAGCTTTAGTTGAGGAAGAAGCAAAGGGAGCATTTGTCTCAGATGACAGGACTCGGAAACGGCAAATTTAAAGTTAAATTTAATCATAATCAGTGGTGCCCAGAAGAGGATTTCATGGTGCAAGTTGCGCCATCAGAAGGTTTGAGGGGGACATATTTTGAATTTTGGAAGGAGGAACATTTCGAAGGGATTATGAACATTGGAAATGAAAAGTTTAAACCGAAAGACAAGGAAAAGCATAGAACAGTCTGCAGGATGTGTAATTATATATAACCAACGATTTTTCAAATTCTACTTTCGCTTCCACTGTTTTTAAGAAGAGAGGTGCAACAAAATATTTTGGAAGGATTGGCGGAAGGTTTATGCCATCGACTGCCTAAGAATGATGATGATTATAATGTAATTATGGCTCTTCGGTTTGTTTAGGGCTAATATTTAAATTAGTTTTGACCGTGATGAGATCCTCAATTCAGAATGGCCTGCTTCTTTACTTTGCCTAGAGGCATACAGAAGATTGGTTAATCCACGGGTACCAACTGCAGAAAGTTGTTTTCAATAAGCTTTTCTATGACTTAACCTCCTCCCATTGTCGACCAATACCCTCATCTATGTGAATGAACATTGAAAGCACAAGATGGCACAGTTTGTCATGAATTCACGTTCAATAACCTCAACTGTGCAAAAATCGATACGGGATATTTTTCGCTGATATTACTCGGCACCTTCTCGGAGTGCAACCTGTGCAGGAATCATGTGCAACCTGTGCTAGATAATAAGACTAAGCGCATAAGCGAGGCAATAGATATCAACATAATCGAGTATGGGCGCCAATAGCTAATGGATTCCAGCTAAACCTAACACCTCATCACATTATTTGTCTATTGTTCGTCGGTTTATTGTTGCTCGTTTTTATCAACAGTGTTTCTTTAATTAATTTTCATAATATCTATTCCATTTTTCTCCTGAAAATTTATTTTTTGGACAAATAATGATTATGAATTTCGCGAAAGCGCATTGACCTACGCGATGTTTCAACCGTTTCCTTTGACAAACGTAGTGGCAGAGGCCCAGGTCCTACGAGGACTGTAGAGTCCATTGATTGATTGATTTGATTACATATTTTTATTTTTATTTAAGGATTTTGAGACAGTGAGATAAACTCTCACTTAGTTCTTCATGAAACAGAAACTTTTTTCTGGAAATCAGAAACAAAGAAGCGATTCGAATTATATTGGAAGACGGAGTAAGATGACAAATGAGGGAAGATGTTGAATTCAGTATGTCTCAATATCAATTACAGATAGCAATACATTCTATTCAACTTAAGATTTGTATAGTGTGAATTATTTTATCCATTATGAAAAATTATAATACTAATATTTATGGTATCATCTGATTCTGTATTAAATGAAAGGCAAAAGAATATTTTTTTGAAAATCCAGTTCAATAAATCTTGGGAGAGGACAGGGGATCGAGCATTGAAAGCGCCCAGGCACCGGGACGTGAACTCAGATAATTATGATATTAACTTTTTAATATACAAATTTTCTGTTATCAGGTTGCCGGGCAACATTAGCCCGCTCAGTCACCCCACCCCAGTGGATTCGCGAAACCCTAAGTTTTAAAGATTTTATAAAACGACCTTAGTAAAATCCACTGGCGGATCTACGGGAAGGACGAGGGTTTTCGGGGTGAAGCCTCCCAATAATGGAAAACCATTGTTTTTTTTCACTGTTCCACATTAGTTTCTGCGAATGATAGCCCTAAAACCCCTACTCTACCAACCTATAATCCATTTAAAATAAATCAAACAGAAACCTCTATTTTCTATTAACAAATTAAACAAAACAGGTAAAGAATGTGTAACTTTCTAACTTCTCTATAATTCTGTATTTTGATATGGATGATCAGTTCATTACTAAAATTACTTATAAGAAGCAGTGATAATTTACCACCACCACTAGCGAATCCAGGATTTGGTTTTGAGGGAGTGGGCTCCAGCCCGAAAACTTTTATATATATATATATATATATATATATATATATAAGTACTTTGGAAAAAAAAGATACTAACTATCTATATGAAATGGTGTTTAAGTAATTCTTGAAGTCTTATTAAATGTAATTACACGAACAATAATACTTTAAGAGATGATTGTTCACCATAAAACATGGTTACATTTTACCATTCTGATGGGGAGGAAGGATTTGCCCGAAAGTTCCCCTCCCCCCTCTTGTAGATATGCCTGTGACCACTACCATGAGTTCTTTTTTTCACCACCACGATTTCTCAAGAATTTGCGACTAATGAGACTACTAACGCTATCTACTAGTGGCACACAAAAACCACCATAACCTTCTCAAAGACTCATAACTATATTAATATAATAAATAATTGCAAATTATTATAAATTTATTTATTCTACTGTATTTTAAACTTAAGTAGATAAAAGTAGAATCATGTAATAATAATTAATAATATTCAATGGTTAGGTTATATGTACACTGTTCTGTGGACATGGTAGTCCTTGAAGTTTTGAAGACGTCTAACTTGATTTACACTACAATTTGAGGTTGATTTATGGGTTTGATATTAGTGGGGATGGAATTCCCCAATAGCGAGAATCGCTGTACAATAATTTAGATTAGATTTCTCAAAGAATTTTATCAACCACATCCTCTCATTTCCATTTACTTAATTATTGACTAAACTGGTGGATCTTATTTCAGTCATTGTTATACTTTCTATTTCAAAAGAATCCCGGTGTTTTTATTCCTTCATTTTATGGAACAAAGTTCAAGCTATGAGTGTACCTGATCCAGACATGTCTTCTAGAGTGATGGTATTTTTAAAAAGAACACTTGCTGAGATCACTAGCAAACAAGTTCATACCCCTAATTTTGAAAAATACGTTGTGAGTACAATGAGTTTACTCCCTTTTATTTATAATTTTTTTTTATTACATTCTGTTACAATTGTACTATTATTCTATGTGTGGATTATATATCAGTTGTCGAGCGCTATATACATTATAAATGTATTGTATTATGGATTAGAGATCACTCATCATAATTCAATGTTGGCATTTCATAATAAATGTAATTGAAATTATTTATTTTGTTTAATGTTTATATGTAATTGTCCTGTGGCAGCTGATAATAAAAAATACTACTTCATTCCTTGTTCTTGAAATATTAAATTAAAAATTATAAATTTTATCAATGCCAATTTATAATTATGTTTGGTTTGGAGTTGCAGTCAGATAGAACACAAATAAAAATAATATCTATCTATATATCTTATTAATAATTGGTAATTGGTTGACTGTCGTGGATAATGAAGAGAAGAATAGTTGGGGTGTTCAGTCAAAAAGACTGAACACCCCAGACCTTTTTGACTGAACACCCCAACTATTCTTCTCTTCATTATATTTCTTATTTAATATCTACTTATAATTCATTTATTCTATTTTCACCATGTACCGTTTATATTTTGTACCTTTTGAAGACCTGCAAGTTGGGTCGAAACGTCGGCGTAACAATTAAAAATACTATTTTTTAAAATTTAGTATTTATTTGACCGCACCCTCCCTGACCAACTCCTCATATTATATCACTGTCAATCATCTGTGCATCATATTATATATATATATATATATATATATATATATATATATATATATATATATATATATATATATATATATATATATATATATATATATATAATAATAAACTATAAACATATTTGGTTCTATTATTATTTATAATAATAAACTATATATAGTTTTGTCACCATGTCCTTTTACAATAGGTGTTTAATAATTTTGGTTTTTATATTGTCTTATCTTAGCTCTAATGAAGGCCTGCAACTTAGACTTAGAAATGTTGGCACAAAGTAAAATAAAAACCTTTTATTTTTATTTATGTATTCCCTCTGATGCTAACATTCAATCAACTGACCAACCAGTATACAGTCTACAATTTCTTCACTATTATAATTATGTCTGATCTACCACTCAATTGTGTTTCTGCTTCATAATTAAAAATCAGTTTCTATTTTATATCCAATTGATTTCAGAATATCAAGGCAAGATATCAGAAGAAAACTCCTTCATGTCTTTTTTTTGTCACCAACACATTCACTGGTGATAATATTTAATTACAGGTGTAAATTGAATAATCAAGTTTAAAAATTAATCATACTTATAACATTCATGTCATTTAAATATTTCTTTGAATTATTAACAGGACATAAAAAGAAAAAAATTAATTATAATTTTAATCATTTCAGTTGATTCTTATTACTAAGAAACTCCTAATCCAATCCTCATACAGTTGTAAATGGAGCATGAAAGACCCAGACAAAATTAGCCTGTAATGATTTTTAATTATAATAAGATTATCCGTCATAAGGGTCTATATGCTGAAACTTAAGGAGATGCTAATAAAAAAATGTTAATACAAAAGGATTGAATTTGAAGTTTATTGGTATTTAGAAATAAATATTTCCTACTATTTTTGCTGCTGTTTCAACATTTAGTTACTACGCTTTCAGAAAAACTTTTCTTGACCCACTACAAAAACAAAAAAAAATTGCATTTCTTCATTTCGTCACATCACTAAACCTTAACTATTTTGCACTAAAAGTAATTATAATTCTCGAAAAGTTTATAATAAAAGGAAACAAGATATTTGCTATTATAAATTAATTTATATCATTTAGGATATTAGGCGCATTTGGTTTTAAATGTGTAAAACTTTAACCTATGACCTTAATTAATTAGTATAGAAACATGTCAGGACAAAATTATTTATCAGTGAAATTTTCTATTACCCTGGTTAACTTTATTACCATTTGTTTATGTTTGTGTTCCTTCCTATTATTAAAGCCTTGTTATTAAAGTAAACACATAAATTTAATATTTTGAAATAATCATTTATCAAATCAATCATTACATAACCAGTTATCACTTTATTATCAATTTTATGATATAATTAATAGTTCGTTAAACATCCCAGTGATGTATCCTATATATTTTTTTAACAATGGGTTCACTCTGTTTAAAAGTAAGTAGCTTTATATCCAAAGATTTCGAGAATGTGTTATATTTTTATTTAGTTTTATTTTTTATTCCAGGAAGCAATTAAAGCTCTAAACTCGCTGCAAAGTAATGCAAATGTTATTCAAGAAGCACGAAATCGAATGTTGAATGGAACTAGCAAACAATTCAACAATGTTGATACAACCCTCAAATATATTAAAAGGCATGTGTAATTATATCATAATTCATAGTAAATGTTAGGATTATAAACAATTTATGCATTATTTAATACCTTAAAATGTTGAGACGTATTGATGTAGATTATTTAATCTTGATGAATTATTCACTTGTGCCTCCAATTGACTTGAAAGGGATTCTCAATATGGAAAAGGAGTGTAGTAGTACATGTCTTGGGTAGGTGTTATTAATTATTCCAAAAGTGGTCAAATATATATTTTTTAAATATAATATTTAATGCACTATAATTGAAAGGAGGTAGCTGTTTATCTTCTTAATTATCCAAGGAAATACTTTATATCAATAAATCACCTTTGACAATTTAAAAAAAAAAACTTGTACATTGACCAATAATAATCAATTACTAAACCATTAATTCATATGCATATTAATCTCTTAGCAATTTAAAATTCACCTGCTCACTCATTTGATCTAATCCTTGAGGCTTTAGTATTTCATTGAAAAATCTTATATATATATATATATATATATATATATATATATATATGTATGTAATGCAAGAAAAAATTGGAATTCGATGGTTAGAATTGATGTATTAAATCTGAACTACAATAGGAAAACTTCATTAAGTAGGAAACAACACTTATGGTACTATATACAGGCAATGTATATATATGTGTATATATATATAGTTGATGTATAGCTATTCTTTTAGGATTGGTCTGCCATTGGAGGAGTTAGAATCACGAATAATTCACATCAGTGGAACAAAAGGCAAAGGTTCAACTGCTATCATGACCGAAGCCCTCCTTCGCAATGCTCCTTACAAAACTGGGCTATTCCTATCTCCTCATATCACTTCTGTGCGGGAGAGAATCATGATTAATGGAATTCCACTATCACAGAAGCTCTTTATTGACTATTTTTGGTCTGTCTTTGATGTTCTATCACAAAATAAAGTAAGACTTTAAAGCTTTTTATATGTGCAATTGTATAATGTTAATTAATTTCAAGTATAATTATTTCAATAAATCTTACACTTTTTCAGGATAATGAAACAGACATGCCTTCATATTTCAAATTTCTTACAATTATGGCACTCAAAGTATTTATTTCAGAAAAAGTTGATGTTGCAGTTATTGAAGTTGGTATTGGAGGAGAGTTAGATTGCACAAATGTTTTCCAGTAAGTTTATATACATTTAAATAGTTGCTTTAAAAATCCACTAATGCCCAGAAATATGGTTTGATCTGTAGGAAAACACCCGTTGTAGGTATTACTTCCATTGGTTTGGACCACACCAGACTGCTGGGGGATACGGTTGAAAAAATTGCTTGGCAGAAGGCTGGTATCATGAAACCTGGATGTTTGGCTTTTACAGTACCTGACCAGAGTTCTTCAGTTCTCCAAGTATTTCAGAAGAGAGCAAAAGAGAAGGAAGTCAGTATTCACATGATTGGTTTGCCTTATTTCTTAAAAATTTTCTAACTGTTTTGATCTTGAAATAATCTGAACCAGAGCAGTATTAGCAAAGATTCAGTTTCTTGGTGTATCCAAGTTTTTAAAATATTCTGAGCATGTTCACATGGAAACCCTTTTCCTTTTCCTTTGTTTCGTGGATAACTTATTAACTATGCATCTCCTAATGCTCAGTAGAAGGATAATGAAATTGTTAACAAAGTCAAATTTACACAAAACAATTCAGTATTAATGAAGATATAGTGGATGAAGGGGTTAAGTTATAAATTAAAGGTTGTTAGAAAAGGACAGATTTTTTTTTTACATGATCTATACAATCAACTAAAAAAAAAAAAGGAAAGGTTAACCAAGAATTTCAGGTTCTTAATTTCATTCTTAACTTTTATTCGTAAGCAATCAATTTTCAAAAATTTGTTAGATAGTGCCTTTATCAGCTTATATCGTAAGCTGTACCAAAATGATGCTAGCCAAAATTAGTTCCCTGTCATTTTATGTTGTAATATTTCATTTTTGTAGTTTAAACCTAAATGTTTCAGTGTAGGTTTGAAGTGGTACCTAATCTTTCTGAATACTCCATTGACCATGAAAGATTCAATTACCCTCAAAGACTGAATGCTTCATTAGCTATACAGCTTTCAAAGGCATGGACCATTTGGAACAACAATGGCAGTCGTAAGTGTGTATTTATATTAAACAAATCAAACTCTTTTTGCTTCTACTCATTATTTATTTTAAAGTGCTTAATTGTTTTAAAAGATTTTTAAACAAAAAAATAAATTAATAATAAAGACTGGATTGATAAGTAATTTAAAGTAGATGCTTGCGGTCAGAGGTTTGGCCCTGATTAAATATAATGAGTTTAATTAAAGTTGTGCTTACCATTAGACAATTTTGGTGAAAAAATTCGCTATAACTTGGCTGACATATACCTACCTATATGTAATTTAAGGTTATGTACCATCTTTCATTTTTGAGCCGGACACTTCACGTACTTACACATACATTATTTTGCGAGACTTGGTTATTTAGACTCAGAGGGACTCAAAAACTTTCTTTCACATGATCACAATACTATCCCTTACTATATATTTCATACATAGGTAAGTGAAAGTAAAAAAAAGTTTAAATTGCAAATTATTATTCTATTTATTTAATCTTGAAGTTCTGATAAGTTTTTGTTAAAATGTGTTAATTTATTTATGGCTTCCTCAAGATTCGGACTACAATAGGATAGAGATTAGCCAAGATCAGGAGAAGGTTTTACTAAGTTGTCAAATTCCTGGGAGATGTCATGTACTAAGAGAGAATGGCAATAAACTTTGTTATTACCTTGATGGAGCACACACAGTTGAATCAATGGAAGTAGCTAAGAACTGGTTCCAGGAAACTTCATCTAAGTATATTTATTTTCATATTAAAAATTTGTTTTTTGGTTATATACCTAAAATTGTGTATTTAATATTTTATTGTGTTAAATCATAAGTTTATTATTATTTTACAGAAATGCTTTAAGAATTCTTATATTCAATGTGACTGGGGGACGCTCTCCAATCAGTCTTTTGAAAATGTTAGTAGACTGTCAATTTTCTGAAGCTATATTCTGTACTAATTGTATATCTGAAAAAGAGGATGATCTACCTGAAGGTAAATCATTATAGGTCATTCAAAAATTCATTCATGCCTATATATTATTTGACATTAAACACCGATGATTTGTGGTCTTGTGATTTGATAGACCTTGTTAGTAAGGGAACGTGTCTGGAAGAAGCCATCAACAAAGCTAAAGAGAATCTTAATGCTTGGAAATCACTTGGAGGTAGCAGCGGTCACGTCGTGACATCTGTTGCGAATGCAATATTGCTTGCCCAACAATTAAGTAATTGCCGCAGTACTAGCGTTCTTTTTACTGGGTCACTACATCTTGTTGGTTCAGCTCTCTTCCTACTCAGACCAAATAATGACAGCACAATAGGTTAGTTCTCTTAATTACTATCATATGATTTTATTTCAAAAATATATTGTGATTTTAAATTTTTATTATATAAAAGCCATAGCTCAAATTCTAAAACCATATTCTTTTTAAATAAACAAGGCTCTAAAACCATTCACTTAATGCTTCCTTTATTTCTAGAATAATATACAAATGATTGACTGAGGAAAACTTGAAAAAAAGAAGTTAAACCAATTGTAAATATAATGAATAAAATTCTGTATATATAGGTAAATATATAAATGTTATGTAAACGAATGCTTAATTTCTTTCCTTTCCATCTTTACCACAAAAATCAGTGAAATTTATGATGAATAATTAGCTAGATGACTTTAACAAATCATCCTCTGTGCACTAAGTCAGGAATAATCTAAATTGGGCAAGTTCCTTAAATTATGATGGATCCATAAATATTATTCAGGGCATTCCTTTATTCATTGATTGATTCACTAATGCCTCAGCAGTTTCAACGGCTTTTGAGGTCAATGGATATAACCTCAGAGTTGTTATTTCTCAAATTAATTTACATATTTATATTCAGTTTAATTTCTATCTACATTCTACTCACATATATTTATTTCTGTTTTGAAATTCAATAATTCAGTAGGTAAATATTTCCATTTATAAATATATTTTAGGCAACTTTTCAAATTAAGGTAAATAAGTCTCATGAGTTTTTAATAGGCAGCATTCTACTTTTATGCAGTGGATCGTATTTTAATGGATTGGTAGGTTATACTGATTGTGCAAAAATAGCTTAACCTCTTTATGCTAGCTTACATCTTTTGGTTACCTTGAGGGTGCCCTCGGAGCATCTGGAGCATCAGCTGTGACTAGTAGTGCTGCAGCTCTTGAGGATTAACTGTTACCTTTAAGATTTTCTGATCTTCCCCCACCAATCTGGGGGCTCCTCCAAGAGCCTCCGCCAGTTGGCTCTGTCTTCTGCTGCAGCTCTCCAGTTCCGTACACCAAGCAGGGTTCTCGCATCATAGGCCACGTTGTCCAACCATCTCGTCCTCGGCCTTCTTACCCGTCTTACAAGATGCAGCTCCTCCATCATTATTTTCTTTGGTATTTCAACGGTGCTCATTCTGGCCACATGCCCTGCCCACCTTAGTCTGGCCAGTTTAATATAGGTGACTACGTCGATGTCTGTATAGAGAGAACTGAGCTCCCTATTTTTTCTTTTTCTCCAGACATCACCCTCCTTTACTGGACCATAAATCGTTCTGAGGACTCCTCGCTCAAACACACTCAGCTTCATCTCATTGTTTTTGGTCATCGTCCAGGCCTCTGAGCCATATGTCAAAACAGGCCGAACAAGGGTCTTGTATATGATCAGCTTGGTCTTCTTTGAGAGGTACCTACTTCTTAAGTGTCGGCCAAGTCCAAAGACACATCTATTGGCAGCCGTGATCCTTCTTTGTATTTCTTGAGCCATGTCATTTTTGCTATTAATTTCAGACCCAAGGTATATAAAACTTTTCACTCTCTCAAACTTAAAAGAACCTACCTCAAATGGAGAGTTCAGATCCAACTCTCATATACTTAGTTTTCCTCTCGTTGACTTCTAGACCAAGTGGTCTTGCAGCTGCTTCAAGGCCTATAAACGCTTCTCTGAGAGCCCGAGCCCGTTCAGACCTACCTATTATGTCAATATCATCAGCAAAACCAAGAAGCTGTGTCAGGCGATTGAAGATTATATCGTTGGTCTGAATACCGGAGTCTCTTACAGCTTTATCCTCTGCCAAGTTGAACAATAGACAGGCGAGGGCATCCCCTTGCCTAACCCCACTGCTCACTTTAAACTCTTCGGAGTCGTCAGAGCCGACGCGTATTCTACATCTCGAGCTATCCATGGTCATCTTGATTAGGCGTACGTGCTTCTGAGGGATGCTTAGCTCCTCCAAGGCACAGTATAGTTGCGTTCTATCAACGCTGTCGTATGCTGCTTTAAAGTCTAGGAATAAATGGTGGGTGACTACCTTATGCTCCATAGTCTTTTCTAGGATCATCCTCAGAGAGAACAGTTGATCAGTGGTTGAGCGTCCTCTTCGAAATCCAGCCTGATATTTCCCCAGTTCCTTTTCAGAAGACGGGAGAATCCTCTCAAAAAGAATGTTAGAGAGCAGCTTATAAGCATACGAAAGGAGTGAGATTCCTCGATAGTTAGCGCATTCTGTTTGATCTCCTTTCTTATGTATTGGGCAGATAATGGCTGTTGCCCATTCCGTAGGCATAGCTTCCCTCTCCCAGATGGTCAGCATTAAATCATGCAGAGCTTTCTTAAGTTCTTCACCTCCACATTTCAACAGCTCTGACTGGATTCCGTCCGGGCCTGGCGCCTTTCCATTTTTCAATTTCCTCGGGGCATTTTCCATTTCCTCCTCATCCGGGGGTTCAATAGAATTCAGGGAGTCTTCCTTCATTACTCCTACTTCTCCAGGCACCGTTCCTCTGTTTAATGCGTCTTTGAAATGTTGTACCCATCTCCTTAGTACGTCATCTTTGTGGCTTAAAAGAGATCCATTCGTGTCTTTGCATGCCGTCACTCTGGGCCTGAACGCTGCCCTACCCTCGTTTATTCTCTGAAAGAACAGCCGACTTTCATTTTGGCCGCGCAATCGTATTATTAATATATTGAACACCAAGAAGTAAAATAGTTGATAAAAGTATCAAGGTTTACATAGACTAGTGTTGAGGGCTTTGAAAAGTCCTCTCTACCCATAGCTCTCGTTCGTGTTAAAAGGCTTCCTTCGAGTAATTAATGGGTTTCTCTGGGATTCCCTCAACTGTTCAAGAAAGGCAATAGCGATAACAATCACATAATAACACAATGTCAAATGGAAAAAAAAAATCATGGAATGGAGTAGCGAATTTTAAATGATAAATAAATTTGAATCGTTAAATTATTTGGAGTTCTAAGCGAAAAAAAAAAAGTTCACGACGAGCACTGAGAAAGTTATTTTTCTTTAGAAGCACTTGTTCACTTATTTATCTTTTTTACTTTCGGTTCCCTATATATGAAATGTATAGTAAAAAAAAAGTATTGCGATCATCACATTATGAGGTCCCCGGAGTCCAAATAATCAAAATTCCACTTTATACCCGTTCGACCCAAATAGTCAGAAATGGATACCCCCTCTGGCCCTTAAAAAATTGATAAAGCTCCTTCAACTTCTAGGATGCTCCAACGAATTCCAACTCGCTGAAAGGAATGACCCTCGGTCACTCTGAAAGACGGTAAGTCACTCATTTTTGGAGCCTGTGGTTTCACATTATTTGTGTGACACGTAACACATTTGTAAATCCGGCTTCTAACGAGTCTTCTTAGAGAAGAGATCCAAAATTGGCGATATATGAGCGACTGGACCAACAGAGGGCCACCATACAAGGAATGCCTGAGGTAACGGTCACACAAAAGGACTGCTAAATGAGAATCTTTAGTTATCAGCAGCGGGTGCTTACTTTTTTCTTCGATTGTTGAATACTTCAATCTACTTCCCACCCTGAGAGCTCCGTCCTTATCCAAAAATGGCGTGAGCCTGTTTAAGGAACCCTTATAGGGTTTGCCATCTTCAGGACAATCAATTAATTCAGTGAAGAATTTCCTCTGAACGGGTCTGACATAAATTATCGAGGGATCCTTAAGATCGTTAGGAGTCAAGGTTCCAGCAGCAAAACCATCTTGTTCCCGATCTCGGCAACATCTAATAAATTTTAAAATGAAAGAAAAAACTCTCTGCAGCTTTAAAACGGACGGAGATTCAATATGATAAATAGGCCAGTCAGAAGGAGAAATAACGAAATAAATGCTGGGCCGTTTCAATAAAGCTTATGTGAAAGTATCTGGTGTGGTGTGAGGCCTCTCGCTGGATTCTGTTTTGTAGGAATATAGCGCAAACAATTAGATTCTGTAACTTCCAAAATCTACACTACGCGATAAGCAACATAAATCTTAAGTTCGTGTGGCGGTGTCTGTAACCAACAGAGTACATTACGAGAATCCGAAAAACAATAAACTCCCTCAATTTTTAAATGACTTTTAAGATTACCAATACATGCAAGTAGTCTGGAGGTAAGAAGAACCTCATTTAATTCCAAACGAGGAACTGATTAAACCTTAAGTGGGCCACCTTACTTTTTGCTCTTAACAAATGGATTTTGGTAGCTTCTCCAGGGCACCCAACTCTCGGGTAGATCACACACCCGTAACCCTTCTCGGAAGCGTCTGAAAAGGCGATTAGTTGCATGAATGCTGTATTCTGGCTGACAATACAACGAGGCAGGCAAACATTTTTCAAGCTCAGAAATTCGTCAAGGAAAATCTTCCACTATGAAGACACACTGGAGGGCAACTCATCATCCTAATTAACCTTAAGCAGCCACAAACGTTGCAATAGGCATTTAACGAAACAAATTACCGGACTGATATATCCATTTATATCGAAAATTTTGGCAATGAAGGATAGAATACCTCGCTTTGTAAAAAACAGGCTCACTTTCCTTTATTGAATACCTGAAATGATCGAGTTTAGGCCCCCATAATAAACCCAAAACCTTAACAGTTGAGGAATCTCCATCCAGGCACAACGGAATTTATTGACTACCCTCGGGTTTAACAGGAAGTACTTTATCAGAATTACTGGATAACTTTCTGAGTTCAAATCCACCAGCTCCAAATAATGCCATTAACTCAGATTATACAAATTATACAGATCCAGAGCCTCATCACTATTGCGAGCACAAGTGATTACGTTATCTACATAAATCTGGTCATGACACTGGGCAGCTTTAGAAAAATTATGGCCTTCTTTCAGAAATAACTGTAGAATGACTCTCTAAGCAATAAAGGGAGAACATTTCAATTCAAATGGTAGGGTAACCAACTCATACTCCTGGATAGGCTATAAAGATTCACTTCTCAAAAAAAAAAACAATAAGTTCTGATTAGGTTCGGCAATGCGGATACACCTAAACATCATTTTTATATCGCATGTTAAGGCCACAGGAAAGTATCTAAAATGATCTATAAGTTTAGCAATATCAATCTGGAGCTGTGGACTGGTCAAAAGCAAATCATTGAATGAGTTTCCTCCCACCATCTTCTCCGAACCGTTGAATACGACTCCAAGTTTTGTCGTGGAAGAATCCTTAATGACTCCATGATGGGTTATGACGTATGGAGAAGGGTTCTTGGCGAGACGGACATGATCCAATCTTACATATTCATCCATCTGTGCAGCATAGG